CATCCGCACTCCCGTGTATTTTTAGACAGTTCGAGCTAAAAAACACACGGTGAATTAAGCGGAGAGCCTGTGGTCCGTCTCCCAGGAGAAATCACGTGTCTGACTTGATACTGGGAGCAAGATGTAGGGGTCAGGGGTCGGTTCTCACAGGAAACACAAGGAAGTGATGTTTGTGTACACACACAATATCTCGGCTTTTTTTTTTTTTTTTTTACTTAACCCCGGTGGCCAAAGATTTGTGTACAAAAGTCAAATTATGTTCTGTTCGCTCTCTCGCACGTTTGTCCTGACTCTAATCCAGAGATTTAACCATTTAAAGCCTGATCTAAGAAAAATAGGAAGAATACTGGATTTTTTTAGTCTGAAGTCTTTTTTTGGCCCCTCAACAACATATGAAGAAAAAAACAGATATTATTTTGATCAAATTAGCGTGCAATAAGTCAGAAATATATGTTGGTGTAGTCTTCTACTGGCTGTTATCAGGTATATGTGAAAATATAGCAATATAGTTATATAGTAATATCTGAAAAATAGGAAGAATATTGGATTTTTTTAGTCTAAAGTCTTTCTTTGTTCCCTCAACAACATATGAAGATAAAAAACAGAAATTATTTTGATCAAATTAGCGTGCATTAGCGTAAAAAATATATGTTGGTGTAGTCTTCTACTGGCTGTTATCAGGTATATCTGAATGTGTACAACAGGGGTTTGAGCAAAGCTTTTACCACTGAATGATGCAGAAAGTCTCACATCCAAAAGACTTCAGAAACCGTATCAGATATGACACATTTGGCATTATAGGGTTAAAAGAGGAAATCAGTACTTCACAGGCTTAAAAAAAACCCTTTATGATATGGTGGAATAAACAAAGCAACGGTTTCCTCACAGCACTTTTATAGAAATGGGTTAGTAAGGCTTCAGAAATGACTGGACCTCTATCAGGAAACATGATATAAACCAGTTTGTTGAACTAATATCCTGAGCAGGGCTTTTTTAGGCCTTTTGCATCATTTAAAGGTAAAAACTTTCCTCCAAACACTGTTTTACACAGTCAGATATTCCTAAAACCAGCAGGAAAAAGACTATAAATTATTAATATTAAAAGAAAATTGTTGATTTTTTTCTATAATTTGTCACAGGGCTAAATAAAAGCTTAAACCATTAAAAACAGGTTCTCTGTGCTTTCTTGGATCTTGATAAAGAATCGTGCTCCTATCGTTCAGTCTGGAACATTCCTCAGAAACAAAGACTGTTTGCTTAATTTGGCGGAGTCCAAAGGGCAATAGCTCATTTATTTAGTTAGGCTGGAGGAGTGTGTTCCAGGATAAAAGTGTAGAGTTAAGAACAGCCGTCTTTCCCCTTTAGAGCCTCCAGAAATTAGAAACATCCAGAAAAACTGCTCCATCATTCCTTCCTTCTGGATGTTTCTGCTCTGGTTCTTCATCATTCTTCTGACCCAGAAGACCCCCCCCTCTGAGGAACCAGTCTGGATCCAGGAATAAAACCCCCCCCCCCTCTGTGGAACCAGTCTGGGTCCAGGAAGTAGACCCCCGTAGAAAATTAAAAATTAAGGAATTAATTATCTGCAAATAATACGCCATTTCTGAGTGTCTGTGCTGTTTTAGTGACTGGTGGAGTAATCATGTAATAATTCCTTATGACTAGATTTTGTATATAATTTTGTATATTGAAGTGGACATGTGAAGAGCAATTTGAAAGAAGAAATATAAAATCTGATAAAAAGAAAAGACAATTAAGATAAGATAAGAATAACTATAGTGCTGGGCAACAGCGTAGCCCAATGGTTACAGCGGGCGAACCTGGGTTCGATTCAAGCTACTGTCATTAAAGGCCAGTAGAGCCAACAAAATCTTTGAAAATAAAAAGAATAACTATTGTGTTACTGTAGGTGGCTACAGATTTGTTTGACATTTTTGGTTGGTGGTGTGCCTCGTGATTTCTTCAATGAAAAAATGTACCTTGGCTCAAAAAAGGATGAAAAACACTGCTCTAAGGAACCAAGTGGCCTTTCCAGTCTTTGGCTCGGCTCTGAAAACCTCCTGATGGGACCCCCGTTTAGACCCAGTGGACCAGACCCAATCAGAGGAAAGCACAAGGGAGCACGTCCACAACTGGTTTATTGACATCACACTCTGATTCTACTGGAGCAGGACGTAAAAACCACCAACTTAAGGTAGAAGAAGAAACCCAAGAGACCATCGAGAGAAAAATGTTTGTGAGGGACAAGCTGATGAAGACCAGACTAGACCATAGTGGACCGTCCAGCCTTCACCCTGTTGGTTTATAAATGGGTTTTAAGCATTTTAACATCTCTTCCAATGACTACAGTGGGGGAAATAAGTATTTGACCCCTTGCTGATTTTGCAGGTTTGCCCACTTACAAAGAATGCAACGATCTATAACTTTAATCATATGTACATTCTA